AAAAAAAATTATGCTATTACAAAGGTGTCAAGCGAATTTGTTTATCTTACCACGACTTGTCGTTGTTCTGCTTGAAATGTTTTCTACTGTTGTTTGAGCCACCAATGTTGTTGACTGAAATTTGCACGGCTATTGTTGATCTTATTTCCATTATCTTATTTCCAAACTTACAGTATAATCATTGCTGCTCACAGGTGCTGTAGCTGGTTCCGTCTGCAGCTGAGTAGAAGTCAAAAGTGACGTAAGCTCACTAATAGCGGTGACTTCTGCTGTCGAAGCGAGAGTTGGACGTAGTGTTTCTTGCTGGGGTTCCGTGATTGGAGCATCACTTGTTTGCGAAAGTGTTGAGAGGGAAGATACAATGGTGGGCCATAACGTAGTAGATCCTGGCACGGAGGATGCTGATGAGAGAATGATAGTGCTTTCTGTCGAAGTTGCTGATTCAGCGGTTGAAGTCAAAGGCTTTGCTTCAGATGTTTCAGTTTCAGACTCCGAAGAGGCGGATGAAGATGAAATAGGGCCCTCCGTGTCAGAAATAGCGGTTGAAGATGTTACAGTAGCTTGAGATTCAGAGAAAGTTGATAGTATAGTGACTGCGCTCTCTGTGTCTATTACTCTGTCTGTCTTTGTAGTTGCTGACGCAAGTGTTGAAGATTCTATTATTTTTTCGATCGTACTAGCTTCAGACTCTGAGAAAGTTGATGAGGAAGCAATCGGATCTTCTGTGTCTGGAATTGGCGTCACATGTGTTGTTGCTGAAAGCGTCATCTCAGTTGTAGTAGGTTCATACTCTGAGAATTCAGTGGATGAAAATGTAATTGGGCTAACTGTTTCCGAATTAGTCGATACAAATTCTAGTGTTGAAGATTTTTCCGTCGTGATAGCTTCAGACCCCGTAGAAGCCAATGAGAAGAAGGTGAAGCTATTTGTTTCTGAAGTCGCCAACGTAGTGGAGAGATCCTCAGTACCGTCAGCTGTTGATGGCGAGATCGAAGAGCTTACTATTGGTTCCGATGAAGAAGGGAATGTTTGAGCAGTTGGAAGAGCTGAGGAAGTCTCAAAAATTGTAGACGTATCCGACTGTAAGCCAGTAGAAGACGAAATCTGATTTGTAGTATCACTTCTTGCCATTGTGACATAAGAGAACCCAGTCGCATCATTTGATGCAGACCAATATTGCGAAGAAGAGTATTCATTTGTGGTTTCTTCAATCACACTAGAAGTTGTTGTTTCCATAACTTCCGTATCAGATGTCGTGATTACTTGAGTTGATGTGTTACTCTCCAGCATGTCAGAAACTCGTGATGTAACTTCATCGTATGGAGTCGAATTCATAGTTTCTCCCCCGGAACTCGATGTTGTTGGTTGTTGGAATTCCGTAGATGAAAAAGAGAATTCTTCACCTGCTGTAGTCGTCTCCATCTGATTTGTAATGAAATCTATTGAAGAAGTCGTAGTTTTATTTACAGTAATATTATCGTCCAAAGTAGAACTTGACACTCCCGCTGTGTTCACAATAGGTGATGTTGACACCACTGTTGTGCTTTCATCGTAATGTGTAGCAGTTTCAGTTACATACGTAGAAGGTAATTCAGCTCCATTTGTACTAGAGTCGCTGGAAT